TACTTTTAATTTGGCTCTATTGGGATATGTTATATGCTACAGCAGAGGTAGCCAACACGGTGCCCGCAGGCACCACGTGAGTCGCCCGCAAGACATGTTCTAAAAATAGCACTAGTCATTATGGAGCTCCGTCTAAAATTGTAGTTGCTGTCCTTTTTTAATCAAAAACGCTTGCAGAGAGTTAAGACAGTTGGGTACCCGGAGGCGCACAGCCAGGACGAGGCTGCCGCACCGCACTAGGTTTTCAGGTTCTGAATGGCGGGCGCATCCCGTTGGTGCTAGACGCGAGCGCACCCCGTCGTCAGGTCCGTAAATCCTCAGAACAGGCCGCGGGGCAACAACTCAGGGGTGGCGGGGGTAGAGGCGAGGCAACGCAATCCGACCGAAAAGGCCCAGACTAGAGGTTTGAACGCGGGCGCCCGAAGACGCTCGCGCGCCTCGGAGGGTTGGATCCCCCGCTCGGCTATAGACGAGACTTTTTACTAGTTTCTTCGTGGAGAAAAAGGTACCGTTAGAAAAGCTGGTGTCGGTGAAAACAGACGGAGCTCCGCGATGACGGGTCGGCATGCAGGCTTCATTGCGCAATTCAAAGGTGACCCAGACTTCGCAAAATTTCTACATTACCACTGCATCATTCACCAGCAGGCGCTATGTGCAAAAGTAACCAGCTTTGATCATGTGATGATAAAAAAATATCAGAGATGTGACACCTCTGACTTTCAAATGTTGAAACAGATTAACAGAAATAAAAGTTGCATGTTTAAATATATATGTGTAGCTATACACAGCAAAATCGTAAGTGTGAATTTAACTCGCATAGTGTTAATATTAACACTTTGCTGGTGTTTATATAATCCTCAAGGTTCCGAGTTAAATTAACACTTTGGATAGTGTTGATATTTTAACTCTTTAATAGTGTTAAATATTCAACACTCACAGTGTTGTTTTATGACACATGAGTGTATTTTTAACAGTAAATTGTGTTGTTCCCTTTCACTAGGAGTGTTGATTTCTAACACTGGCAGTGTTGTTCAACGACATGTGAAAATGTATTTTTAACACTAAATTGTGTATCTATACTTACATAAGTTCAAATGTTTTCACCCTAAAGACAACAGTGAACTACAACAAATCATTGGTACACATTTCTTTTTATTCAGAAAATCTCTTCCAAGCACCATGGGCACAACTTAACTACATACACACGTGCACAAAATTGTTGGTACCCTTCCGTTAAAGACCCACAAGAAAAACCCACAATGGTCACTGAAATAACTTGAAACTGACAAAAGTGTCTGATTTTCATTAGTTAATTTTCAGTGAATTTGTATTTATTATTACTTTTGTCAGTTTCAAGTTATTTCAGTGACCATTGTGGGTTTTTCTTTCTTTAACGGAAGGGTACCAACAATTTTGTGCACGTGTGTATGCACATTTACAAAGAAAATAATGGTACAATATATAGGCTCTCATCTTCACCATAAGCACTTTGTAAATCAATGGGCTTATAAATAACAAGACTGTCTGCTTGTATTACATCTTTCTCATCAGTTTCATATACTTGGTAGGCATGGAAATGCTCACTGAAATGGTCAACCACAAGCTTGTTCACTTCAAAGTAGATAACACTGTTGACTAAAAGTATCTTCTTTATTCTACAAAACCCAGGCATATCATGATCAGTCTCACTGCAAATGATTAGTCCTGCCCTGTACTCTGTCCCACTGATTTTAACCCAGTTGGTAGAGAAGATGTCTTTCAGGACAGCAGCATGCAGGGCTCGGGCAAATAGGTCACTATTGTCCACATTATAGGATTTCAAAGGTCCATACTCAATGTGGTTCAAAGGTGATGTTTCCCAATGATATCCTATGGACATTTGATGTTTTTTTGCAAGAGATTTAGTTATGTTCTTGAAGTTTTTCACAGTGTTTTTAAAAACCTTGTGTTTTGCTTCAAATCTCATGCTCCACATATGTATCAGGTGTCCTATTTTTCTCATACAAGCTGGGTAATGTATCATAAAGTGATGTTTAGGGATCAGGTTTCTATGTGGATACAACAGTTTGAACAATTCATGGTGTTCCATTATTAAATGCTTTAAATGTACAGTCATGCCTAGTGTAACAGATGGAGAAAATATGATGTTGATTATCTGCAGTAAAAGAAGCAGCAAAGTCCAGTTTTGGTTTCCTTCAGGCACAATGTCACCAAAAAGCAAAGGAATGTTGCTTACCAGACAAAGAGTCTGAGTGGAATTGAGTCCTATGTTATTGCCACTACTGTCCAAGTTAATCCTTGTAGGGCGATTTTTGCGCTCCAAGTACCCATAGTCAAAAGCACAAATCCTTGAGAACATGTGAAGTTTTGACAAAACATTTTCTGAGAGATACTCTAACAATAACTTCATCTCATACTGAGCCACCCCTTCAAGAATGTCGTGCATTATGTCCAAAGAAAAATTGTGGCAAACATGAAAAAACTGCAGGCTGTTAAGAGTTGAATTTCTCTTTAAACCAAACACGGATAACTTCTGTGGGTCTGATTGCAACTCATTGCAGTGCATTTCAAAAAGCTCTTTTCCACGCAAGATTATCTTGGGGTCATCCTCATTGTAAACATTCTGTGCATCAGCTTTTTCAATCAGACACAAATGACAGAAATAATGTCCACTAAAAGACTCTGTAAAGCCCAGAATTCCATGCATCCCTAAATTGTCCCCAGTTATCTGACATATAGTGCCATGGACTTTTTCAGTGGAGAAAGGCAAATCAAGGCCGTGACTCTCCAGCGTTTTGATGTCATTAATCAGAGGTTGCAGAATAGGATCAAAGCCATATTTTTTCAAATCTTCAGTATGAAACAGTGCAACCAAATGAATGTTCATCAAAGCAGAGTTAAACTTTGGCGGCAGATTTCTGAGGACAAAATAGAGAGCCCCTATTTTGTGAACGCCACATTTTGAACCCAGCAGGTTAGCCGTTTCAAAGTCATCATAGTACATCTGAAGAAGTTTGTTGTTTAGAGAACAAAGGATGTGTCTTGAAGTAATTTCCATCGCAGAAGTCTTCATATCCATCAGTTTTTGATACACAAGGCTCCCCAAGCAGTTTACAAATATCAGAATTGCGGCACATGAATTTGATTGTTTCCAAAATTGGAATGTAAACAAAAGTGTCTTTCACTGGGACTTGGTCATAAGTACCGGTTTGTTTATTTCGCCTGGTATCAAATCGAAATCCTAACATTACTTCTACTGGCTCCACAACCCCCCATTTCTCATTGAAATATTTCATTCTTTTTGTTTCAGTATTAAAGTTAACAAATGGGTTTTCGAAATTCTCAAGCCCTTCTTCTAATGTAGATCTTACAGGATCATCTTGAGGCACAGCAGACAGTACATCATGCTTAAATTGAGAGTGCAGCCCAGTAGCAAGTTCTTCCAAATCACGAACAATTGTTGAAACCACACTATTTGCCACACCGCTACCTTGGAGTTTAGCAATAATTGACTCGCAAATATTTCTTGTGTTTTCTCTGTGAAGACCTGATGCATTGTCCTCAGAACACCCAGCCTCTGGGCTCTGCATGGCACTTGTTACAACAGCTTCTGTAGTATCTTGTTGACTGTGAAAATTTGCTTGAAATGACTCAGAGTTTGCTGCATCACCACTTTGACAAATATTCCTCTCATGAACTCTAATTAAATGTTTTTTTAAACCAGAATAAGTTGAAAACTGACGCCTACAACGATCCTGTGCACAAACCAACTTAAACCTGGTGCTAGGATAGAAACTGTGATCCATTCTTAAATGGGTTATCAAGTCCTGGCAGGCCGCATGTACAGCTTGACAAATGAAACACTTTAGCATTTTTTTAAACCACGTGTAAGACTTTTGCCCGGAACTCACGGACTCTTGGAGACTCATCTGTTGTTGTAATATCGATGTTGTAGACTGTTGTCTGCACGAAAGTGAAGCGCTGGACCAGGGTTTCATCATAAGACAGGTTGAACACGTAGTGGGATTTAAACAGTTCATCAAAAGCACCCAACGAGCTGGTGGCTTGGCAGGGGATGAGCTGTTTGTCCACAACGATGTAGAAGGCATCAATTCTGTTTTTGGTTCGGCCAACAGCAAGGATGTATGGTTGTTTAGCCTCTCTTCCCTGCAGGTGTTCAACGATGCTGCAGCATGACTGAGAAACAGAATAACATGAACACCTTAGAGTGGAAGCTCAGGATCTGAGCCATGCAGTGGTACTTGTTCCATGAGAGTTTAATAGATCCTCCAGTTTGACCAGTCACCTGCCCACGTGTTGCTAAAATGCGAGCTTCACTGGGAGTGTGTTCCTCCCCAATGAAGTCCCAGTTCATTTTTAAAAGGAACACACTCAGTGAAGTGTGCGTAAGAATCTGAATTATCACTTTAAAGTAGCGTAGGAGAGGGATGAGTTAGCAAGTTTTCAACTGCTCACTGCATACCTAGAATGGTTGGACAAAAGAAAAGTTAAGTTGCTCTTGTGTGTGTCCAAAAAGTCCTCGCTGTTGAGGAATTGTTGTAAAGTTTGCAATATTGAGACATTCAGATGAGTCCTTTTTTGCAAACTTAAATGTCTTTTTAATTGAGTTAATATAACTGAAAAACTGGCTTGTGGGATTTAAACAGATGATACATACCTTGTGAAAGTGTAACATTTTGCCCACTGCATCACTGGGACTTATTTTGATCCTCTTCCATCCAGCTGTGGGTGGCAAGAGATGGAGAAGGAGCAGCAGAGAAGCCATGTCACTGTCCCAGTCTACCAGGAGTAAATGAGACAAAACAAGTCATTAGTATGTACTTGGAATACACAAAGTTAATAGCATCAGCCATTTATTAAATAAACCAAGGATATCATGTAGCTTACTGGTGTGATCGTTCTCTGAAAGGTTTTCAGCAGCTGTCAGAAGTCGGCACAGCTCAGTTGACTGAGTCAGGTGTTTGGCCTCTTTGATAACCTTGGGCTTGAATGCTGTATCCCACTTCTCAAGCATCTTGGAAGCTGTTTCAGCACCAAACAGCAGCAGGAAGTCTTGATTCAGCTGTTGATCATACATAGATGCAAAAACAAAGAGAAGAAAATCAAGCAAATGGTGTGTGCACGATTAACTACTTACATCCACCCAAATTAAGGACGAGAGTTTAAATAAAAGGTAAGCACAACTCACTAGTCCTTTGACATCTAAAAAAACATGGAAATGTTTTTAAGACATCTGTGGTTCTCAGCGGGTCATGCACTAGGTCCTGGCGATGTTGCAAGGTCATCTTCATCTTCTGAAACACACTCGTCTCATCAGGAGAGTGAACAAAAAATGATATAGCCTCCCTACAGGCATCTCCATCAAGCTGCTGAGGCTCTGTGGCTGCTGATCTTCGGCGGTTTGGTCCCTGTGCTTGAGGCTCTGTGGCTGCCTTGACTGGCTGTTGGTATTTATTGCTGGACATGGTCTTGAGGCGCCATGCTAAATATCCTGTGCCTTTTTCCCCATCATAGAAGTGCTCCTGTTAAGTTATTTAAAAAATATGAAATTACAAAGGTCACTCGTTGATCTTATATAAAAAGGCAATTATGGGATTGTGAATGAATGACTTCATAACAATGCCAATCAAATCAATATATAGAATATTTTGTGTGTTTGTATATCCAGTCTTTAGATGTTTTGAAGAAAAAAAGAGTTTTTGTGCAAAACTCTAGTCTGTAAAACCGGTGTGTATTCTGGAAGTAATCCTTTTTAAAAACTTACATAGCCCTTTGGACAAAAGGGATCCTTCAGCGAAGGAAAGAGTGTAATGATTCCCAGGGCAAACTTCTCCTTCTGGTTACGGGAAGGAATCCTCCTTTAGAGGAAAGACGATAAGAAAAAAAAAAACATGAAATTGAAATGCCCCCTAATAAATATAGTTAACCACCTTTGTTAATTCCCTGCCATGCATTCTGAAAATGAATTACATTCCTTCTTAATATAAACCCTTTCAGTCTGAAATGGTTTAAAATTCTACAATTTATTGAAGAAACACTTACCCATGCATTTCCGTCATATGGCTAGCCAATATGTTGACAAGCTGTCTACGGGTGCGGTGCTTCAGTGAATTTTCGGACTTGTACTCTTTGAGGACATCCTCACGTCCAGGTTTCGTGAGCAAGGCATTTTCTACCATCTACTCGCATAAGAGAATTTTTTTTTAGTGTACAATTCAGTCTTAATTAAACAATAACCACAAATTGGTCAATTCAGACTAGGGGTAAAAAGGAATTCCCTGCATCAGAGGAAGGTTTCAAAAAATAAAAATAAATAAAACAGCAGTGCTGCAAAAGAAGATGAAAAATCAGGTAATGCAGCAACACTTTTTCATGATATGTGGGGCATGTTAAAGCCAAAATAAGCAATATAGACTTATATACACTACAAAAGAGAAGGCACCATTCCATGTATGTGAATGATAACCTAATTGAATAAATATGTATGAAAGAAGAGTTACACAATACAAAGCTACGCAACAGCTAAACCCTGTGTTAATTTTTTACTTGACACTAAATTAAGTTTCTTAACTTTCTCAATCTGGCTTTCCCCATTCTAAATGTCATTATACTCCGATTGGTGAGAATCTTAATTCAGTTTAACAATTTTCTTGATGATATTGTGAGTATAAATTGTAACTGACATCTACTGCTCTCAAGTACCTCTTTTGCAGCCTCTGAATCCGAAACCTCTGTGGTAGACCTGTTCATGACGCCAGAGCTGGATATATTTCTGCCTGTCAAACTACCCCTTTGTCTTTGACTGGAGAGGTCATTGTCACTTGAAGAAAGTGACACGGTATCCGTGAGAGAAGATGGTGTTGAATGATCTAAAGGAGAAAAATCTTTTTTTTTAAAGGAAAAACATTATTAATAAAATATATCCAGTTACCCGATAGAAATGTGCCATTCCGGGGTGGCACAGCCACTATTAGAGATTATTTGTGATATGAGATAAAATTACTGGAAGTCACCATTTTTAACATAGTAAACTGTGACCTTGGGTATCACAAGCTTGGGACAATTACAACCAAACCAAAATTTTCAAACTGTTTTGGCAATTGGATGCAGATCTGTCTTTTGCTGTAATATTGTTTCTTTGTTCATCTACTTTGTCACTGTAGTCAGACAGTCAGGGACATAAAAGGCTTCACAGCAGAAAAACAGCATTGATTACAACAGATTTAATAATGAAACCTACCTTCATCTGAAATGCTGTCACGCACTGTCAGGCATAAGTCTGGATTGGACTCCATCAGTTCAAGAAGTCTGGATTGGACTCCATCAGTTCAAGAAGGATGTCTTCTTCCACTGCTGTGTCAGTTTCATCAAAAATGTGAAGTTCAGCTGCATCATGGAGCCCAAACTTGTTTTTGACTACAGGATGATGAGCATGACAACAGATAAAGATAACAAACAGGTTTTAACTGCACATAATAACTGACTGATGAACCATATTATCTGTAAAACATATCTGAAATTGCATGCTTTGACTTAACAGCAGTATTATGATGTTGCATTGTAGCCATTACCAACATTGTAGCGTACAAAACAAAACAGTAACTTTCATAAGCAAGTTGAAAACTAAAAGCACAATCAGCCGTCTACTAATGTTTACAGCTGTAATGGCAGACAAACTGTTTTCCAGTTGTGGCAACACTTGGATTTTTAGCTAAGCAACCAAGAGAATCCAGATAAGGGAATTTAAAAACTTTTTATTTTACACAAGATGTTACTCACCTTCATTGATGAATTCCAAATAGGTGAAACCAAGCTGTAATCGGATGTACTTCTTGGTACATCCGCATGACATCTTGCAGAAACTGCACACAGTGGAAGAAGCTAGCTGTTCAACTTTCTCCAGGCAAGGAGTTATTAAACATATCTCAAGTCAAACAAGTGGTTAAAGTTACAGGCTATAGGTAAATGTTTGAACCTATACAGTCTCTGAGAGATGCAGTCTACAATTACCGTTTTAGTATCAATTAGGCAGGCGCTGCACCTCTATTGTCAGTGTCGCAGTTTGGCACACACCCGCGCACGTAAGCTTTGTTGAGATGCCCTGTACTGCGATAAAGGCGGAGAACGAAACACCAGTGAAACGCAAGAGATGGTTTAACTAAGTTCTGTATGGTGGTAAGCAGTGCCGCGAAACTAGTAACGTTAGCGTTCGAGACGGCAGTGCCGCGAAACTAGTAACGTAAAGTCCTGAGACGGCAGTACCGCGAAACTAGTAAGGTAAAGTCCCTGAGACGGCAGTACCGCGAAACTAGTAACGTAAAGTCCTGAGACGGCAGTACCGCGAAACTAGTAACATAAAGTCCTGAGATGGCAGTGCCGCGAAACACCCGTTTCTGTCCTGTCATGGTGGATCACATTTGTGATTGCAAAATAATGTGGCATACATATTCTCAAAGAAATGTACTGAAATACAAAAGGCTATTTATTATTTTGGCTCGGCCGGTTTGGACACCAGTGTTCACCAGACATATTGACTGATTTTTAACGTTAGCTAACATTGAACGTTAGCTATATTAGCTATATTGCATTGACAATAATTCACTTCCGAATAGCAAAACCATTTAACTTTGGCCATCTGAATAACATTGAAACACACTTAGCAAAGCAATACATTTGACGTTCTACCAGAGAAAATGCCCCTTAATTGACGAAGTGAACTGCTTGCTAGCTAGCATCTTAACCTAAATTTGTATTAGCTAGTTAGCTATTAGCCACCAGCTTCAATGACATATAACACGTCACACCACACTTGACGTTAACACATAATTTCATATGCAGATAAACAGCCTGGTTAAGTAAATATATTTGTTCTTACCTTCTGAAATAGTATATTCCGGACACCGAGTTTTCTTCACCTTCACCGTGAGTTCAAGAAGAAAGTGCGCCTTACAACCGGATGTGTAAGTAACTCAGTCAGGAGAGCTTTACGTTAACTCGCCGCAAGAACTCCGCCCCCAGAGCTATTTCAGCACTGCAAGTGCTAAAGGAACACCCAAATCAACACTGATCAACTCAAAATATTTGTCACTGGAAAATTAACACCAATTAACACTACCAATTTTGCTGTGTACCATCATAGTTGTGGAAATCATTATTAATAATTATTGTGAGGAATAATTAACTGACATGTGATCAAACAGTCTCTTCACATATATTATTATTATTAAAAGGTGATCTGTGCAACTTTGTTATTCAGGAAGTTTGCATTAAACAAGTAGCCCTTCGTACTACTCGGTACCCTTGAAGTAGCTCTCAGTTTCAAAAAGGTTGGTGACCCCTGTGCTACAGAATAGTGTAACAGTAGCGCAGAAGGTCATAAAGTCAGCTATCCATCTAAAGTGTGCTAACATTAGCTTGTCATAGTGGTCACTCCTGACCAAGTAAAGCTATAGTGACAAAACTCTTTAATTCTAAAACCCACATGGGTATAGAATTGAGCGAAATTACGATTTGTCGCGAAGAAATTAAACTTTTTCATTTAAACTGAAATTGAATTAAACTCAATCATTTTGTGGCAAATACGTGATGAAACACTGGACCAATAACAGACTCATTGAGTCAGTTACACGGTCGTGGCTATCGAAAGCTTGCTAACATTAGCCACTGTAAGCCACTGGCCTCTTCACTTCAGACACCAGTGTGTAGAATACAACATTGGCATGTGATGTTGGGTGATACATTGGGTTGAGTACTCAGATTATGGATGCATGCGTAGGCATGCGTATCCTGTTTACACACACTGGAGTAACACCTACATGTTCATGGACAAAGACGTGTAGAGTTAACACTTCTTAATTACTTCCCTTGTCTATCACATGTCTAGAAACACAGCACTTGGCAACAGCAGAGCACTGAAAAACCCCTCGTGAGAAGTTTTTGGCAGTCGCCGGCGTCATCACCGAGGTCTCGCTTCCATTTCCTCTGCCACTGCCCATCAAAAACAGCACTCGACTGATCCAGGGCTCTGGGCTCATTCCTCTCATTCACTGGTCATGTGGGAGCTAATATGAACAACAAAGACATTTTGATATCTGACAGCAGCGGATGAAACAAACGATCGGCAGTGTCCTGCTTATTGGTGTTCAGAGGAGTGTAATTACGGATATGAGGGAGGAGGAGAGTAGAACTGTGAAGTTAAAACTGATCCAAAAGAGGAGTGACGCCTACAACCCTTCAAGTTCGCCCGTCAGCTCCGGCGTTATCTGCATTCCAATTCCCACTGTGCGGCTCCTCCGTCCAAATGAACGTATTTATTAAAAGTCCGATGCTTGCTGTGCTACATATGATGCTTTGTGGTTTCTAGCTGAGCTCACGCAGCACATTCACCTGAGGGAGTTTCTAAACGTTTTACCGTATGCCAGCAGACATGACAGTACAAAAGAGTCAAAGTCGAGGAGAAAGAAGCGGGGACATTTAGAATACTGAAAAGTTGCAAAACTAACACACTTATGTCTCCGAAGTGGATTTGTATTTTTGCAGCTACATCTCCTCAGTATACTGCGAGTACTGCGAGTAGCCCAGCGTTGTGTGAGAGAAATATAGTCCTGTTATTAGAAACCAGAGGGCTGCTTAATAATGTATGAAAGGTCTGCTTCCTTCGGAGAATGTCATTCAGAGACCCTCGACTCTCTCCCCCCAAGCCTCCCCATGCGGGTGACACGAGTCAGAGTTGAGGCAGGGATTTTCTCAAAGCAGTGTCTTCCTGTTTGCGTTATCTCCGTGTCCTCTCCCTTCCTGTCATTCAGACCCCTTCCAGAGCCACGCTGCCACTCTGACCTCACTTCCTCGGCCATTTCCTGGCCTTCTGCTTGAACCCCAGCTGACTCTGCGCCGGCACAGATGGACTTGTACTACATTATTGTACAAAACATTATTGCTTTTTATTTTTTTGCTTCTTTTTTTTCAAGTCCTGCGGCTGAGTTACAATGTCCGCCCGACAAAAGCATTCCGACAAATGTGTTCCCTGGCTATGTCCATCTGTGTAACATCGTATTAACTTAGTGTTGTATTGAGGTTCTCAAATGTTTTTGTGTCGCACTCACAAACAGGTGCCAAAATGGGACCTCCACTTAATAGGATTTTGTCTCTGTAAACTCTTTGTGGGGGGGGTGGTATTCTGTTAGTATGTTACAACAGGGGAGGACTATAACTTAACACATCATGTGGGAGCATGCCGGCAAATATTGTGATAGTAAATGGATGTTGATGACTAATTACGCCCACACTGAAAGTGTGCATACATATGAAATATGTAAATATAAAAGAACCCAATTATTGCCTGTGACTGCTCGTTTTGTAAGGCTTAAAGCGTCTGAACTCATAAATCTCTTTCCAAAGCGCCCTTAAAGTGGTTGCTTACAATTTCATATCAATTTGTTAAATCATCAAAATTGCCCCATTGGCTGTCCTTATAGTGGCATTTTATTGGGTTCATACTTGTATGTAGGGCTTTTACTAGAACATGTTTAAAACCTTAATGTAAAAAACAACAACAAAAAACAACTTATTTTTCTCACATTGCCTGTGCGAATATACCTTAATTTACCTCTATCTGAAACACTCTGGTTTGTAGCCTGATATTAGCTTTTTACTTCTGCTGATTGCATTTATGCTTCAAAAATCATAATAGTTGTGTACATTCGTGAAGATCATCTGGCTGAACAAAGTATCATGAAGGTTCGATTACCACAGCGCAATAATCCAAAATCCAATGACAAAATCCTATTGGCTGTTGGTCGAGGGAACCAGTGCGATGCTTACTCATCATCCCTGCAGCACTCTATTGTGAATATAAAACATATTGATCAGCGGAGCTTTAAATTCTTACTGGATAGAAGCATTCGGGATGAAGGAAATACTAATGCTTACACTTCTCTGATTGGAATAATTCTGAGAAAATCGCAGTGTTTTTAAAGGGAAGTGAATGTGCTTGTGTTGGGAGTGATGCGCGTCTGTGCATGTTAATGTATCGCCACCAAAGCCAGGGGTTGCGCTCGCTGTCGCTCTGTTGCGTGGCTGCCCAGCGTAGGGGGGGAGGCGGGTGCGGGGTGGGGGGTTTAGACTGTGCACAGTCATTAGCAGATATTCCAAGCGGACAGAAAGTCCCAGCATGAAGCTTTCCCTGGAAGCCTCAGATGAAATGACACAAATAATGATGTACATTATCAATCACAGGCAGGGGGGGGCTAGCTGGTTCAGTGTACATTTGCTGTCTCCATCTCTGACATACAGTATATATACTAGTGCTGGGCAACGATTAAAATATTTAATCGCGATAAATCACATGGATTTTTTGAGATTAATCGCATTGTTATGGCAAAGTTCAATAATGAATTCAAAAGTAGTGTATTGTGCACTGTTATTTTAAGTACTGCTATATGAACTAAAGGGCAATAACATTTGGTTCACGAGATGCAGGTAGCATGTTTTAAACATGTGAAGATAATTCATACTTTGTTGGCATCTTATTCTGAAAACCGGATGTTCGTCTGAAGAAACCGGATGTTGTCTCACGTTAATCTTTCCGCTAACTTTCAAAGTCCTTCGCTCGCTCCCGATCTGTGCCGTTTAAATGCGTTTACCGTGAATTTCAGCATATAGGTGCACTAACATGTAAGTGTCTGCTGAGTTGACCACGGAGATCTGAGTGTCTGCTGACTTTACCGCAGCGATGTCCAGTAGTCTCCAGGGAGAGCAACAGCTGGTGCAGCTTCTCTCTTTATTTCTGCCCCCCCCCCTTGACCAGAAGTGGAAGTTGCCTTTTCTCAACGGCAACCTGAAGGGACATCATATCTCCAATACAAAATGATAAACATGAGACAGTCTGTTACAATAATAATACATTAAAAATACTTACCTGTTTTTTGTTGTTGTTTTTTAATTATTATTATTTATTTTTTTCCCATCTCAAAAGGCTCAAGGACATACACACACACGTTCACACACACACACACACATACACAACTGACTATAGGACGTTTGCTGACTTTTATCCCACTGTTCTTGTCATCCTCTTGTTATGTCTATGTATTGTCTCTTGTCTTTCAATAAAAAAAATAAAAAAAATTGAATAAATTTAAAAAAATGCGTTAACGCACGATAAAATAATTGTCGGCGTTAATTAATGAATGCGTTAATGCGAAATTAACGCGTTAACTTGCCCAGCACTAATATATACATACACACACACACACAGCTTGCTGCAGAGAGAGTGGAGCAGAGGAAAGGCTCAGCAGCTTGAGCGTTGCAACCACACTGTGTTCACCCAGGATTAAATTAAAAAAAATAGGAAAAGGTCAATGTCACAATTGACAAAACAAAGCAGGTTCGAAATGTAATGAGGTAAACAAAAAAAACTAAAATACGAGGTTTCTTTTTCAAGACGCAGTGGTTTATTTACACCCATCTATTTCTAACCACAGATGAGCAGGACGAAGGATCAAAATGTGCCTCCACATTCCCAAAGTATGGACCTCCAACAGTCTGAGACGTCGTTCAGCGGCTCCTATAGCCAGTTACAAAGAGTGAAGCAGACGCAGGAGGAGCAGCAGGGATGCTGTTGTTTCTTGAGCTCCCTTCTCCAAGAAGCAGCTTCGAGAGGGGTATACGCATCTAAACCGGTCTCGAGACAGAAGTCGCAGCCCGACTGTCCGCATTGTTTCAATATTTGCACAGCTGGCTGAAGATTTTCCTCCACCGGAGAGATCTATATTTTCTGGCTTCCACGGCTGTCAATCAAAGACAGAACTGTCATACTGAGTTACATCATCTCCTCTGTGTTGCACTGGACTTTTGGTTTGAACTTAAATACTTCTGTTGAAGCGTCATTTTTTCCTACAGTGTCCTTTTCATATTTCCTAAAGCAATTGATTTGTTTCACCTTATAACGCTATTACGGCGGACTTGTTGGCAAAAATAGATGATGCTTGGTGCTCAAAAACAGTCAAAGTTGATGGACAATGTTTTTACCTCATGTTGAACTTTTAATGGGAAGATGTTGGTAATATTATCTGCTCAGAGAATTGTTTTTGTTGCTGCTGTTTACATTCCTTATGATGCAAATTATAAAAATACACTACAGGAATGTACTACAGTCTGTCAGTCATGTGTTTGTTGTGTTACAAATTTGCCACGTCTGAATTCC